CTAGCACTTGAAACAATTAACTTTTGATTACGTTGCAACTTTGCTGTGTGCAACTGAGCCGTTATGTTGTGAGTTTTCAGGGTTCAACAATGAGTGGCATTTTTGTCGTGGCATTTCATTTACTCTGTGGCACTTCACTTCCTGGATGCCAGGCAGTCAATGGATTGGTCAATCGAAGCAACGATCCATAAATGTGGGAACACATGCACATATTTAATGCGAGCGGACATTAAACAATGCCGGTTTCATTGCTAGGGAGCCGACAATCTGAATGACATTATTAAATAATGAAAAAAAAAATGAAAAAAATTGCGATTAAAGAGCATTTCCGAGCCGCAACACCAACCCCCACCCCCACCCCCACCCAATATAAATAGCTGCTGGAAAATTGCATAACTTAAACTGATTAAGGCACCACACAAAATGAGAGGGAGGAGAGAGACATACTGTTTCACTCTCTCTCGATTGTTTGTTTCGTTTTTGCATTTTGTTTTCTTTTTTGTATAATCAGATTACACTTTATTGTTAAGAATGAAATTGAATTATTAGTGTTTTTTTTTTCTTCTCTGTTTTGTTTTGTTTTGTTATGTTTTCGTTTTCGTTTTTCTCTTTAGTTGCTTGCGTTTTATCATTCTCAAAAGTTGTGTTCAACTTTCTTTTTGTTGTTGTTGTTGTGGTTGTTGTTGTGTTGTGATTGGTTTTTAATCATAATAATAATCGTAATAATCATAATAATAATCATAATAATGCAATATGACATAATATATGTATATATATATACATATACATATACTTATATATGTTTGTTTGTTTGTTTCTTTGTTGGTTGTGTTTTGCTTGCGTACACAACATATATATATATATATATATATAAATATATATATATGTATTTTGTATAGGGACACAGTATATATATATATATATGTATATATAATTCGATTTACCTAAAAAACAATTTACAAATATATAAAAAACGAATTCATCTAGTTAAACTAAATTATGTAAGCATATAAAAAACGATTTATACGTTATGTATATATACTTAAATATATATAATATATTGTTATTCTTTCTTTATCTTTTTCTCCTTATATTGTTTATACTCTTATGTTTTTTGCTTGTTGTTGTTGTTGTTATTGTATTTTTTGTTTATTTTTCTTTCTTCTTTTTAGCTCATTTTGCTGTGTTTCATTTTGAGTTTTTGGTTTCTGGCTGCTTCACACCCCGCACCCATAAAATGGACACAAAAAGGGGTAAAAAAGTGGTTCGAGTTTTCGCAGTTGCTTGCTGCTGCCAATCAGCTAGCTGCTTTATTATATAAGAAAGCGCAGAACGAAAAATTGTTTACAACTGCGCAATAAATATTAAATTGTATTTATGTGCCTTATGTACCTGTGTTTTTGTATTTTCTTCGTTTTTTTTTTTTATGTACGCGCCTAAAAATCATTTAAAAAAACATTAAAAACCCCGAAAAGAAACACACAACGCGAAATAAATTCTGCTTAAAAACCAAACAAAATATGTATAACATGCAGGTGAAATACAAATACCAAAAATATACGGCAAAAAACTGCTGCAAAAACAAACAAACAAACAAACAAAGCAACACAAAAAAGTATTGTTGCGCATACGCCGCGTTGTGCAGAAAAAACACGTTGAGTTGGTTTTGTGTCTGTCTGTGTGTGTTTTGTGTGTGTTTTGTGTGTTTTGTGTGTAGAAATGCAAGGATATCTGATGTGGAAAATAATGTGTTGACAAGTTGTTTGCTAGCAGCATAATATATGCCATGAAATTTACTACAAGCACAGTGCGCGCTGCTTAAAGTGATTGTGGGACAGTCGTTTGCTGGCGAACAGCCACTGTAGGCAGTGCTCACTGTACTTTAGTCTTTATGTGTATGTATTGCTTTGCGTATCGTATTATAACTAAAGTCGCATATCCCCTTCAACATTTATAACTGTCAGTGGCACTTCTAGGGCGTCACTTTACATGTGTGTGTGTGTGTGTGTGTGGAGTATGTGTTATGTGTGTGTGTGAGTGGAGTATGTGTTATGTGTGTGTGTGTGTATGCAATGTGCAACAGTCGTACTACGGCTACACTTGATCATATTTCATAATGAATGAATTTATTCAGCTGCTTTCATATATCTATGAATATACGTTGTTGTTTTGTTCAGTGTATATAATTTTAGTGTTTCTCATTTTATTTTCACATGCTTATAGGGGAGTTTCGTTTGTTTTGTTTTGTTTTCTTTTGTTTTTTTTTTTTTTTTTTTATATTGTAAATATTGTAACATAATAATATGCCATTATATGCTAAATTTAAATTTAGATTTACTCGTGTTGTTTTTTTTTTTCTTTTTTGTTTATTAAAAATTTAACCATTTCTTTGCACTAAAAACTTAGCATAAAAATTTAACAATATATATATTTATTTTTTGTATATATATTATATATAGATACTTTTGTTTTTTGTTTTTTGTTTTTTGTTTTTTCCTTTACTCAAATTAACTTTTTGCTTAACTTTGCTTTTGTTTGTTGTTCTTGTCTATTTGCTATTTGCATTTTTCAGCATTCAGCTTTCTTGTTACTCATTGATTTTTTGTTAACAATATTTTTGTTTTTCTTTGTTATTATTAATTTATCTTTCTGCCGGATTATCGCAAAAAGTTTGCCATTTGAAAGCTGCTCCCTTTCTCTGTATAAATTATAACTACATTTTCACTAAATATGTGGTGTATATATATAAAGTATTTACTTTTATTTACTTTTTGTTGTTTTCTTTATCGTTTTTTTTTTTTTTGTTTTTTGTTTGTTTGTTTTTGTTTTATTTGTTTTAAGGCCAAAAATGTCAAACGTAAATTTCTTGTTCAATTTATTTGCTTTTAACGCAACATTTTAAAAGAAATTTATTTAGCAGCAGCAGCCAAAAAATTCTAGACGCCTGGGATAAAAGTTTGTAGCCAAAAAAGGTAATTAATTTTGGAATTGTAATTGGTAATTTATTATGTATATTTATAATGTTCGCTTTTTGTTTTTTGCTGTTTTCATACAATTAATTATAATTTTTATAATTAGTTTATTTAATAATATGCCTGCCTGTTTTTGGGGGGAGGAGGGAAGGTTTTTGTTTTAACTGTCTACCAAAAATTGTATTTGCTAATTGCAATTTAAGAAAAATGTTTTTTGTTTTTGTTTTTTTTTTTTTTTTTTTTTTTGCAGGGTTGTAGGAAGCGTGGGGAAGGAGGGCATTTAAGACACACCAATTATCACCTACTATCCAATGTGTTGTTGTTTTTGTTTAACGCTAGTTTAACTAATGTAATGTTGTTTGTGTGTGTGTGTTTGTGTGTGTGTGGGTGTGTGTGTGTGTGTGTGTGTCTGTGTGTATGTGTTGTGTAACGTCTTTGTGTAGTCAGTCGTTTCTTTTGAAAACAAAACTCAGGAAAATAATTAACAGAAAAAAGCAAGAAACACAAAATGTTAAATCCAATTTGCTTTGTCTTTAAATGTTTTTGAGGGGGTGAGTGGGCGTGGGGGAGGGCGTGGGGGCGCGGGGAACTGTCCGGGTTGTGGCGTGCGGTCCATCAGTCTGTTTGGTATTTTTTTCATATTTTTTATATATTTATTTTTATTTATTTTTTTGTTTTGTTTTGTTTTGTTTGTTTATAAGTTTTGCTTATAACAATAAACTTGTAACTTGATATTACGTGTAGGTTCATCGTACATAATTTTTCCATTTTCTCATTTCTTTTATTTTTATCGTTTATCGTTTATTACAATCTTGTTTTTTTGCTTTATATGTAATGTATATCAAAAGTTGTTTTGTGTTAGCTAAACTATTAAAGTCTGTTAATGCTTATTTTTGTTTTAAATCTACTAAACCTTGGAACCGGAATTTGGGATTTGCTACCATGCTAAAAATTATATGATCAAATGAAAATATATCCAAATCTGTAGTCTCTAACTGAATAATAATTTTGCATAGTTTGTTTTTTGTTTTTTTTTTTTGTTTGTTTGTTTGTTTTTTTTTTTTGTATGTGCTGTTCGTAAACTTGTGTTTAAAGATTAACGTAAATATAATTGTAAATATTGGTAATTGCATTAATCATAATTATATAAGAACACATTTTTCCGAGTTATTCGATTTTTTGTTTTTTGTTTTTTTGTTTTTGTTTTTGTTTACAAAAATTTTCATTATGTTTACGTAGAATCATATAAAAAATGATAATATATAAGACATATTTATATATATATATTTATATATATAAATATATATATATATTGTATATATAATACACATGTGTAGTTTACAACAAAAGGCAGAGACAACCTAGAGGGTTAGCGGTGATTTTTTTTTGTTTTGAGGGGTAGGTTGCGCAGGGGTAGGTACAATGCAATAAAATCAAGCTGAGCTCTGTTCAAAACGTTTGAAAATTTTGGTATAGAAACAAGAAATCGTTTTGGTTTTCTTTTCGTTTTTTGTTTTTGTTTTTTTTATGATTTGTTTAAGTACTTGGCTAAGAGGCGTGGTTATTTAGCGATGTTTGTAAAACGAATCTAAACTGAAGAGTGTGTTTGCTTTTCATATATTGCTGTATATTGTTTTGTATTTTTTTTTTTTGTTATTTGTTTTTGTTTTTTTGTAGTCTGAAAACTTTTTGCTAAAATGCATTACACTTTTCTTTCATTTTAGTTTTAATTGTTTGTATATTTTGTCTATGAAGCGAGAGATTAACTGAGTTACGTTTTATTTGTATTCTTCTCATATTTTATTTACGGGTTTTTCTCATGTATTTTTTGTTTAGCCTGTTTTTTGTTTTGCTGGTCTAGAAAAAAGTATATATAATATTTTTGAAATATTTTTCTTTTTTGTAGCTTGCTTGCTTTATGTAATTTTAAGTGAGTCCTCGGCCAGGATCACATCCTTGGTTGTATGCTAGCTTAAATGATGATAAAGTTGATTTCTCTTTTCTTTTCTCTTCTCTTCTCTTCTCTTCTCTGTTGTTTGTTGCTTATTATTGTTGCTGATGTTGTTGTTATTGTTATTGTTGTTGCCGCTTTCAGTCCTCCAGCTGCAGCTGCTGCTCGGGCGTTGCTGCAGTTGCCGTTGCCGGTGCCGTTGCTGTTGCTGTTGCTGTTGCTGTTGCAAGTATCTCCAGCGGACAGCCGGCAGCAACATCTGCGACAGAGCCGGTTGAAGTATCCATGAATTGCGGCTCTGGTTATGTAAGATCCTGTTGTGAATCTATTGAGAATAGCTCCTTGTATAGCGCTGGGAATACAACAGTCGGATGCTGTTGCTTAAATTTACTCAACGCTTCCATGTGCAAAATCGAAATATCGCTAAATTAAAGAGTACAAAGTTAGTCAAGATTAATATCAATTTTATCATATATATATATATGTATCATATATACCGGAAATTGGGTATGTTATTGAGGAGCGTGTCCAGCACGGTCACATCGCCCTTGAGCGGCGCATGATTCGTTTCCAGCTCCTGCCGTATTGCATTCATGCTCAGATTAAAAAGCCTCTGTATTTCCGTATTGCCGCGCACTCCATTGCGTTCTACATGTGAAGTTGAGATCAATTAATAAATGAGCAATGAAATAAGGATGACTATAAGGATGATTATCCCACCTGGCCAGAGCAGCACTAGACTCTGGTAAAGCGCCAGTTCGGTTTCAGTCAGTTTAAGTTCGGCTATGGATTTAGCCGTTTGGAAAATGCGCGACACCAGACGCATCTCATCCGAGTCGGATGTGTAGAATGCCTCCTGTGGCAGCATCACATCGCCATACAGCACAGCATTCTGTGAGAGATCTAGCAATCTGGACATGCGAACAATCGCCAGCTCAAATGAGCCCGTCTTCAGCAACAATATCTACAAGCAAGTCAATTCCCAATTAATTCATATTCATCCGGTCATCCATCATTATCAGTAACTTACCTGATCATCCTGACTGAGGCGCATAAAACCCGGTATTAGCTTTGCAAATTCGATTATATTCTGTATCATTTGTGTCAGCTTCTCGGCGCAATCCAGCCAGAGCTCCTCCTGACCCAGGTTTTTGTAATAGAGTATACGTGATAGATCCTACAAAAGACAATAAATGATTTAATTATGTTTATACTGATCTTTCTTTTGTTAAAATATAATAGGAATATAATAGTATGTAAATTTAAGGAACATTTACAATTCTTATGAGAATGTTTACTTTTGATTTTTGAGCAAAAGCCCTTAGGAAGAATATTTTACGAGTGGCATTTATATTATATAGAATGTCGTAGAAAATTCAACAACAAATTAAATTAAGTTGCTTTAAGTTTAAGTTTTAATACTATTATTCTTGTGTTTCATTGACTGCGACTAGTTAGATTAATTATGTAGATTTCTCAGTGTATAGCTCTTCTATCCACCCTAATTCCTGGGGGCTTCAATGTCCGCCGAGCTTAAAACATGTTTCCCTAGGAGGCAATACAATCTTCTACTAAATTCTATAATTGTATTAATGTTAATGCATTTCTTATAGGAATACGTTTCTTATACATAAAAATATGCAAAAAATGAGTTGTTATTTCTTGTGAAAATCATTTAGACAGAATGATTATAGGTAGACAAAATTAATTAAAATAAAATATGTATAAAGTTTTGCTAAAACTGTTATTTTAAGTCAAATTTAAGCTCGGTTTTCATTTACTCTGAGACGAAATTAGCAAAACATTTCGAAGATACTTAAATACTTAAAAGTTAAACTTCTGAAGAAAATCATGTTTTGGAGCTTCCACATACATTTTAAATATTTGCAACAAATTAGATAAGAAACATATTTTTCTGAGTATTGATTAATGAACAGCAGTCGAATCAATCCAGTAATGTTCATTGTATCTATAAGATTTCTGACAGATTTTGAATAAAAATTTAATATCATTTTAAATTGCTAGATACTCCTTAGATTGGTTTCTTCTATGCGATTTTAAATTGTTTCTTCTATGCGATCTTTAAATCTTTAAGAGTTCTCGAGTCGAAATACCCCGAACCCGATTTTATTCTAATTTTATAGTCAAATTTCATGTTATTTCTTATGACAGACACAGGTACTGATGAGGTAACAAAACTAAGCTGGTGCATGGAAATGCTATAAAACCACTAAACCTATTTTCCTTAATAATTATTAATGAGTGTGTTTTATTTTTACACGATGTATATAACGTATTAAAGAAGACATCTCTGATTCCCTAAGGTCAGCATATTCTTGATCAGCCTTAAAAGCCGAGTCGACATACCCAAGTCTGTCTGTTTGTCTATCTGTCTATTTGTGCAGAACACAGTCTATCAGATAGAAACATTATAAATAAATCATGTGATATATTCGACTATTTTCTGCAGTACATAGGAGTTATCGGTTGGTGTTGCCATTCTTCACAAATAATAAATAATGAACACTCTTGGATTTTAATTAATCAAGAGGCTACCTATAAGCTATATTAATAGTATTATGATAGTTGCCAACTTGCAATGTGACTATGGAATATAATAATGCAATTTCTCTAGTGTTTGGCATGGTTTCATCTAGAGAATGACACTTTTCGAAGGCAATTCCAACGCACCTGAGGCTTTCGGAACATGTCATTCACAGATTCCAGTTTGGTATTTGTGTTTGCATGCGCCTCGGCCAGGGTTTTGATCAGCACATCGTTGATATCGCCATCCGCTGGAATAGAGAGGAGTATGGATATAAGTCAGACTTTCTTGAGATGAAGGAAGATCGATATGTGAATACCATGACTAATAAATTCGGGATCGATCATTGTACTGCGCGGCTCGTATGTGGTGCTGTCGACATAGTCGGCCGATATATCATATTGCATGGTCTGCTGGGGCGTCACCGATGCCGAGTAGCCGTAGGGACTGCCGTAGCCGACCTCGTTGCTTGAGTAGCCGCCGCTGTAGCTGTGTAAGGAGGGTAAGGACCCATAAATACATGTAGAGTATCGAATATTTGGGCTGGTTTTTAGTCAAATAAATATGCATTAATACTGCACCTGTTGTAGTTAGTGTGCTGCAGCTGATCGCTGCTCGAGGGCGTCTGTGTATCGTATACGGAACTATCCGGTGCCGCATCGCTCTGGGCACGCATCTGAGCGCGATGGAAACGCACCTCATCCTCGACTTTCTCGCGCTGCTTCTTGGACATTCTGCCGAATTTTACAGCTGCAACAAGAACAGAAAAATGGGAAGGCAATCGTGAGTAACTTAAGGATACGATTTGATATCGGTGTCTTGATGATGATCTGTTTGTTTGTCTGTGGTTTGCCTGCATCATACCATCACGACTCATCCCCAATTTTAGGCACTTTTGCAGTCTACAGTATTGACAGCGATTCCGATTCACCCGATCCACCACGCATTGCTTGTTGCGCGGACACTGATAGTTAACCACGGAGCTCTGCGATCTCCGGAAGAAACCCTTGCAGCCCTCACAGGTGATAACGCCGTAATGCACGCCCGATGATTTATCGCCACAGACTTTGCATGGAATTATTTCAATTTGAGCTGCAAATATAAAATGAAATTTAAATATAATTAGTCATCGATTTAGTCAATTCAATGGAATTAAATTTAATAAAGAGATTAAGATTGTGAGAACAAGAATAAACTCATTTAATTTGAGCTCACTTTACTCAACCAGCAGATGTCGTTTACCCAAATTTTAACTTAAAAAATATTAAACTGAAATTTAGAAAATCTCACTGGAATAGAAATCGCCCTGAAAACAGAAGTTTTCTTGTGCTTAAAATAATTTCTAATTATTAATTATGTATAAGAAAATATTTGTTCAAGTTATACAGGCTTTTTAATTATGATTTTTATTAAGAAATATTTTAATTTTCGGAGAATTTTATTTAAGTACAATGACTGAAAAAATATATAATATTTTCTTTTATTTTTTCTTTTTCATAATATTTTAAGTTGTTTATATAATTTTAAGCTAAGCTAAACACAAGAAAACCATGGTTTTTCTTAAAGGATTTTAGGTTGTTTACTGGTTTTCAGAAATATAATTATTTAATATGGATTTTTTCCGATTGCTGGCAGATACCCTATAAACTAACCTTGTGCAACTGAATGTAACAAACAGAGAGATGCATCTATAACCCCATTAGGCATAAATATTTTAATGGGTATCTGGCATAAAAATATATATTTTCAAGGTTAGCTTTGCGATTTAAATCTTAGCTTTACACATAATAAAACTCAATCTTGTTTCAGATTGAACTTGATTTCCATTTATTTGTCTAAAATAAAGTTCACAAACAACTATAAAATGGATTTTGGCCAAACTGAAAACCGCATTAGCTGTGGCGTAAGTTTCCGTCTATACCCTATTAAATTGGCTAATATATTGGCCCACAGACCACAATTTTGGCCATGGAGTTCGATGGGGGCGTTGTTATCGGCGCAGATTCTCGCACCAGTTGCCAATATTATGTCACGAATCGGGTGGCCGATAAGCTGACACGGCTCACGGATAAGATTTACTGCTGTCGCAGTGGGGCGGCGGCGCAGACTCAGGAGTTGGCCGACAACGTGGCCAGCACGCTGTACTCCCTGGAGTTGGCATTGGGCGAGCCGGCGCTGGTTCGCGATGCCGCTGTGCAATTCCGTAACAGAATCTATGCCGCTCGCAAGACGATGCTGGCCGGCATGATTGTTGCCGGCTGGGATCAGCGGCAGGGTGGCCAGGTATATGGTGTGCCCATAACCGGGCTCCTGGTACGCGAACCCTGCTGCGTTGCCGGCTCCGGTTCGACACATGTGAATGGCTATCTAACCGCCCATTATCGACCCGGCATGAATCAGGACGAAGCCGTGACTCTGGCCCGGAACGCGGTGCTGATGGCCATTCATCATGATTGCAGCACGGGTGGCGTGATACGCATTGGCGTCATCAACGAGACTGGCATGCACTCCAGGATCTGCTATCACGACGATCCCGAGGTGCTTCAGTTTGCCAGCGACCTTCTGTGGTTCACTGAATTTGGCAACTGCTGAGTGAAAGATTATATTTCTAACAATTAACAGCTTCATATATTTTTTTTTGCTGGTATTCTTCAATCAACAATTTCCAAATATCAAATTTGTTAATATTTTTTTTTTGGTTTCTTGTCAAACCGTTTGCAGCAACTTCATTTACATACAACTTTCTTCAACTATAATAAAATATTAAATTATGCTAATCAGTAGCAGCTTAAGTTATTTTAACTCAGTGATCCCATGACAAAAAGTTGATAAATATCTTGATCCTATATAAAATGAGATATTTAAAAAGTAATTAGGCAATCGCCTTAAATTATTTTGGCTACACTAAAAAAATGCAATTTAGAAAATCGCTGCAAAATGAAAACTGACCCAAAACCTTCTTCTTATTTTGAGCAATATCAAATAACAAAGGGTAGCAATTTTTTTCAATTATTAAGAAATATATAAATATAATATTTTTTAAAAACAATTCTTCAAATTGTTAATTATTTTTTAAATTAAATTACTTCAATTTAAAAACTATATTCAATGTTTTTATATGTGTAAACTTAATTTACTAATGTTTAATAATAATATAAGTAACATAATTATGTGTACACATATAAAAATAAGTTGAAATTTATATATTTTTTATCTGAATTTAAATGAATCAAATTTCTCAAGCTTTCAGCTAACAAATACTTGTAAAAGTCATGAAACAAGTCGAATTATAAAGTCAAGCTATATCAAAATTGCAGCTAGTTGCAAATGCTTCTTAAAATAAGTTATTAGTAAACTAGTTGAACTTGTCTTCAAATCGCTGTTGTTACATTTTACAAATGATTTGAGCTGGGGGCAAATGTTTTGTTCCGCCAGCCGGTTAATGTTATTATTGTTGGGCCAATTCTGAGGCCGTTAACTGTAACCATGTGGCATTCTGGCCCATACAAAGTAATGCAAATTAAAGTTCTTGTGGCAGACAGAGTTTGCAACAATGCGCCATTAGGATTATTACTTTGGCTTAGTAGGTTAGCCCATTGTCGTGGCTCAACAATGCCAAACTCGCTGAAGAACTAAGTACATATTGCGCAATAGGAATTTATGCACTGCAAAAAAAAACCAAAAACCAAATCAAAACAAAACTAAAATAAATGGAAAACTAGGCAAAAATGCGCTTTCAAATAGTTAAATTAAGCGCTGCTCTTAATATTATTGCGCATGCTTCGCCAACAGTTTTTTCGCTGAGTGTATCGATGGCCAAAAAAACGCGTAAAAACCTTAGGCCACTTGTTTATGCCTAGACAATGGGGCAAGCTGCTTCAGTTCAAGTGGATTGCGTGTGCAATGGAAGGGTGTGCGTGAGTGTGTGTGCGTGTGTGTGTGTGTGTGTGGGAGTAAATGTGCGACAGACAGCGACAGCTGTTGGGATTCCCTCGCAGCGTGCAACAATCCTTTTCAGCGATGATAATGATGATGATGATGTAATTTCTTAGCGGCAAACAAAGAGAGCAGCAGCAACGCACACAACAACAACAACAACAGCAACAGAAAACCAATGATCAACTGCAGTCCAAGCAGCAGCAGAGGCAGAGGCAGCGGCAGCAGAGGCAGAGGCAACAGCAGCAGTGGCATAAATGAGAACTGGTTCTAGGACTGAGACTGCAACTGCAACTGAGACTGGGCCATGCAGCGTTGATTACCATCTACCCACCACATCCACATCCACACTTGCTGCTGCTTTTGTTGCTGCTGCTGCTGCTGCTGCTGCATTGGGAGAAATGTGTGACAGTTGATGAGTGTCAGAGCGAATAAGTAAGAGACGTCTGTGTGTGTGAGTGTGTGTGTGTGTGTATGAATGACTGAAATGTTTTTCAAGTGTCAATGAACTTTTCCAACACGGCAGTATCACACACCATAATACAAATCATACAACACACACACACACACACACGCAGACACAACTCATTCTCGTGAGTGCGCGATGCGAATGAAAATACAAAAACATATTGAAAAGAAAGTGTTGCTCTTTTGTTTCGCTCTTTATTCTTAACACACAAAATGCGCGCGCTCGCGCTCTTACTTGCTCCCTTGCGCTGGCTCCCTTAAGTGCATGGCTTGCTCGCTCTTGCGCTCTCTTTGAATGCAAATGCAATTGCAGCTCAGTGCAACAGACAGTTTTTTTTAAAGGTTTTTGTGTTTTTTTTTTGTTGTTTTGAAATGTGTGTCGTCACCAGCGGGCGGTCTGTGACTATATGGCTGTGCGTGTGTGTGTGTGTGTGTTGTCATTTAGTTTCGTGTGTGTTTGTGTGTGTGTGTGTGTGTGCTTGTAAGCATCGCTTAAAGTGCTTTAAAATTGAAATGTTCTCAGGCATTACGAAATGCTTCGCCAGGTCCTACGAGACGAAGAGAGATAGACAAAGAGAGAGACAGTAAATCTTTATCTTTATCGGCTTAGCTTTGGCTGTCTATGCGTGCTTCTAAAGGCGGATAAGAAGAACGCTTCTGCATATCGAGCATATCAAGCACATATCTATGTGTATTTACCGTTATGCAGGCACATAAGTATGCGAAAGATTGTTGTTGTTGTCTTTTTTTTATTGGCCGAATTGGGAACAGCTTTAAAGCTCCAGCCATAAAATGCAGAGAATCGCACTTAGACAGCTAAATGCTCTTCCCAAAAATTATTCCACTGATGAACAGATGTATGTATGTATGTATGTATGTATGTATGTGTGTATGTGCTAATGTGGAGTATGTACATAAATATGTAGACATGTTGATATACACGTGCATATCAGGAGACAATGGGAAATGATGTTAACAAATATTTGCACAATTAAATAGGAACGAGTACTTAACCCCATATTCATATTTGTATTCGAGTATTCGTTCTTCGTTATTGTCTTATAGAATATTATTTACTGTTTAACAATAAAAAGGCACATAACACGTTGACATACTTTCCAAATGTGACAAATATTTGCCAAAAATTATTTGTCACCACGCAAAATATATTTGCCCAGATATGCCTACATAAATTATTATTCATATATTTGTAGATAAGTCGGTTAATTCCATATTTGACAAGATCGCATTGAAATATTTAGGTAAAGTTTCGACAAAAAGTTCAAAATATCAATTATGTATATTAACATATTATATTAGTATATTATATGAACTATTCTTAAATTTCGAAAATGGGATTTTATTTAAAAAATTTAATTTCAAGTTTATGTCCTATTTATAAATGTAATACAATATAATAATATTTAATAGCAATATTTAATTAGCTTTTTGTCTTTAGAATTGCAGTCAAATTTTAATATTATTTAAGATGGTTCAGTGGTTTACGAAAGGAAGATCTGCAGATATGATTAAATATATGTAATTTATTTTAATTTTTTTTTTTTTTTTGTAGATAAAACATCATATTTATAAATTACATCAAAAATTTGTTGTACAATCAATTTCCTAACCCTCCGCCAATCGTTAAAAACCTCCTTAAGAGTCCATTGATAATTTCAGTTACCTGTTTTTCACAATGAAATTCACTCAGATATTCATAAAACGCCGGAGAGGGAAGAGACAGAAATAACGCATACGCACCATGTGCAGCGGCAGCAAAACGAGTAACAGTTAATTAACTGCTGCTGTTGCCATAAAACAAAAAATAAAAAAAAGTAAAACAAAAAAAAATGCCGCAAGTGCAAAGCGCAATTTGCCAACAAGTTTTCCACGAGCTGCACATAACTATAATTTAAACGCTGTGCAAAGATTTGCAATAAAATAAAATTCTGAATGGGCAACAAAATCACAAAAAAGAAAAAGAAAAAAATAGCAAAAGGAAAAAACAACAAACACACACACAAACATAGACACATGGCAAACGAGAAAATGCGAAAATACTTTTGCATATGCAATTTATTTTGCATGCCTGCGGGATTTCTTGTTGCCCTCTCCCTCTCCCCCTCCCGCTTCCACACCCTGCGTTGGGTGCAGCAATAACCAGAAGTCAAAATTAATATGTTCTTCTTTATTGCAAATGCAGGCACAAAAAAGTACAAAAAAAAATAAAAAACATTCAACGAAAATTAATATGCAGCGACATGTGCGAAAAAAAGTGCGCAGCAAAAGAGACACAAAAAAAGAAAAAGAAAAAAGAAAAACAAGAAATACAGTAGAACTGCATATGATTTGCAGTTTTCGCTGCTGCGGCTGCTGCTGCTGCTGCAGCGAGAGCGCCATCAAATAAAATAATGCAAACAAAACAAGAACAACAACAACAGCAGCAGCAGCAACATCAATACAAAACTACATAATATCAGTAAGTCAGACAGAGCCGAGCAGCGCAGCGGAGATAGAGCAAGAGCAACGGAACCGCAGCGTCAAAAGAAGTCGCAGTCGCAGTCGCAGTCGCTGTTGATGTTGTTTTTGCTGCTGCTGCTGCTGCTGCTGCCTATTGCACAAGTTGTCACGAAGCAAATTCGTTCGGGTGGCGCGGCACGAGCGCAACATTCGCATTCGCAAAGCAACTTCGTAAGTGGGTCAGCGAGCTGTGGGGTCAATGCACCGCTCGCCTGCCTGCCTGCTGGCTGAACTGCTGCTGAGAGAGAGAGAGAGAGAGAGAACGGACAGCGTGTGTGTGTGTGTGGAGAGTGAGCTCATAATAATAATAAAACAGCGCCAACTCACAACTTTACTAACACACGCACACACACACAGGCAGACAGACAGCTTTTGGTTGCTCTCTTAAGCGCGCGCTCTCTCTCTTTCACGATGCATAGAGCAAGTTTAGTACGCTCTTTCCTTCTCACTGCGTGCTTGGTTCTTTGCGCCCAACTTAACGTGCACACGTTAAATACAAAAACAAAAAGAAAAAAATGAAAAAATTTTAATGAAAAACTCGTTTGCCAGCGCAGCTTTCACAAGTGAAAAGGGAGAGGGAGAGGCGGGCAGACCAAGCAGACCAAGCCGGCTGACGGAAACCAATACAAATACATGTATACAAAATAAATGCCGTTAGAGAGCGGCATTAGCATGTTGTTGTTGCTGTTGTTGTTGTTGTTTTTTGTTGGCATGGCTACGTAATGTTGGCGCTTTCTTTTTGCTCACATCCATTTGCATATTTACATGTGTGTGTGTGTGTGTAGTTGAGGAAGACGCCGTTAGAATTTGTAAAGAGCAGCAAATTCATTCACGCTGCCTCGCTGCGAATT